AGCAATGCAATTTTCTTGAAAGCCATTTTGAAGGGCACCTGAGCATCCTGGTTTAAAGACAGACTGTGGGGCTAGACCAGGGGTGGGCAAACTTTTTGACTCGAGGGCCACAATGGGTTCTTAAACTGGACCGGAGGGCCGGAACAAAAGCATGGATGGAGTGTTTGTGTGAACTAATATAAATTCAAAGTAAACATCATTACATAAAAGGGTACGGTCTTTTTTTTTTTTTTTAGTTTTATTCACTTCAAACGGGCCGGATCCGGCCCGAGGGCCGTAGTTTGCCCACGGCTGGGCTAGACAAACCTGGGTCAAACGCAGCTGTGTGACCTCGGGCCAGTGGCTTCACCTGCTGAGCCTCAGTTTCCTCATCTGTCAAAGGGGATAATAAACATATCTGTCTTAGAGGATTGAGCAAAACAATGTCTGTAAAGCACAGTAGCCTTTTTCTCATCTTTTTTATTCTTCTAATGTATTTATTTATTTATTTATTTATGTTGTTGTTGTTAATTCTCACTCAAGGATATTTTTCCATTGATTTTTAGAGAGAGTGGAAGAGAGGGAAAGACAGAGAAAAACATCAACGTGAGAGAAACACATCGATTGGTTGCCTCCTGCATGAACCCTGACCAGGGCCCCCGGCCGGGAAGGAGCCTGCATCCAAGTTGCCCTTGACCGGAATGGAACCCAGGACCCTTTGGTTTGCAGGCCGACACTCTATCCACTGAGCCAAACCAGCTAGGGCTGTTCTTCTAACTTTAAATATAGGAGATACAGAAAAATACAAAGAAGAAAACAAGGTCACCCAGAGAGAAGCATCCTAAGATTTTCGTGGAAATTCGGCTCAGTTAATGTATTTAGATTGCGATCCTACCGTTGCCTGCTTTTTCATAGAAATAAAACCCAACTTGAAGTTTCATTTAAAAAACACCTTTGCTTATTTTATTTTTATTGTTTTTTGAATGCACACACGTCGGAAAGGTTCGAAGGGTGTCCAGTGAGAAGCGAAGCTCTTTCCCTCCCCAGCCTCTGGCTCCCCTGCCCGGAAGCCAACACAGTGAGCAGTTTCTTGCGTGTCCTTCCTTTCTTTCCTGGCGTTAAATCATCTTTGGACACATGATTTCCAACCCCTCTATTCATTGTGGGTTTGTTTGTGTTTTTAATTCACTCAATTATAAAGCATGACATTCTAAAAAGAAAGAAAGAAAAATTAGAACGGACAGACAAGCAAAAGAAAAGGAAACAGGCAGAATCACCTGCAATGTTACTACCCCTTTAACATCTTGGAGTATATCCTCGCAGCCTATTTCCATTGCTTCGTGTAGGTGCACATTCTTGAAGCACAGGTATCTTTCCTTCTCAGTGCTGATCACAGTCTGTGATGATGTTTGTGCACTGATCTCTGATCATTATCTGTCTTCCCCGTTGTGCTCGGAGTTCCAGGAGGCTGGGGCGGTCCTGAGAGTGTCCCTACTCCCAGCGGTGTCAGCACACAGGAGGCCTGTAAGGAATGAATGAATGAGTGAATTGACAAAAGGGATCGCACAATATATCACACTGTCCCGTGACCTATTTTTTGTTTTCACTCAACGTATCGGCAACCTCTCTCCACATTTCTAGCTAGGCAGCAAATCCTCATTTTCCATGTCTGCACGGAGGCACCACAATAAACGTCTTTTTGATGCTGGCCAGAAGCTTCTGCCCCTAACTGGGAAATTCTTTTTCAAACCAGATCTGTTAACAAATTCCACATGATCTGCCCGTGCCCCAGCCCTTTGGCCATTTACTTTCAGCCCGACACTTCACTGGTTTCGTGGGCCCATTGTTTTCTGGGACAAGTCAAGATTTACTGCCCGTCCCTGACATCATGTTTTTCCAGAGAAGCTTGAGAGTAAGAACTCATCCCACCCCCACCCCCACCCCCGTTTCCGCCTGTTAAGGGTTCTGTATATTTGCTGAAGTTGGGAAACTTGGTGTAACCCTTGCCTCCCTGGCTGCCTTGTCACAAATAGCTCACACCAAGCTCATTCCTACCTCAGGGCCTTTGCACTGGTTGCCTCCTGTGCCTGGAATATACTTCTCTCATGCATTCTTCAGGCCTCTGCTCAAATGTCACCCCCTCAGAGAGGACTTGCTCAACCATTTTTCTGCATTAGCATCTCGAAGCCACATATCCAGTTTTACATTTCTTCATAAAACATTTCTCAGCACCTGGTTTCGTATCCTATTATGTGTTATGTTACTATAGTGGGGTTTTCTTATTTATTGTCCATCTCGCCCACTATGAGGGCACGAACTTGGTTTGTTTTCTTCTCACAGTATCCTCAACACCTAACCCATGGCCTGGGGTATTGCAGCTGCTCAGAAACTATTGGTTGAATCCATTCATGTTAGTTCCAGGGCTCTAAGGTTCCTTCCTTCATTTATCTATTGGCCTGGCCAGCACATTGAGCACCTACTGTGTGCCAGGGCCCATCTGAAGGATGTGGTCAGTGGTCCAGGAAACACATCTACACCAGATAACGGCATCCGATGACTTGCTGGCTGCAGGCGGCCCGGAGAGAACAGGGCTTAGGGCCTGAGGGACATGGGTTCCCAGCTCTAACTCAGCATTTGCCTAGTTGGGTAAACTGCAAGGGAGACACACATGAGGATGATAGCCTAGTCGTCTTTACTTCTCCCTGCTATTCTTTCACCATAAGTGGAAGAGAAATAAAAAAGTGAGGCCAGAAACCTTTTTGGATTTCTCCCATAAGCCCAGCGTCTTTACTTGGGCGCTAAGCTTTGCCCTACTTTCTGGCTGCTCCATACCTTGCATACCTCCTTCAGGGAAGCTCCTACCTTAGTAGCTATACCTTCCAAAGGAAGATGCCAGAAAACTCGCTTTCCCAGCCTCCCTTGCAGGTTGGTGCAGGCGTGGGACTTGGGCTTCATCCGCCAGACATGCTGCCAGAGATGTGCAATCAGACAAGAAGCACTGGACAAGAGCTGGGGAGGAGCGTGGGCCCGGCACTGGACGGTGCAGTGGGAGGGGCCCTCTGGGAGAGAGCAGGCTCCCGGGGGCAGCTGGTCCATAAATCCTGGGTCTCATGCTAAGAACCACCCCATAACCTTGGAAACTAGCCAAGTGGTGGCTTCTACTGCTTGCAACTCAGACCCCCCTGACTGACAGTAGATCATTCTAGGTTCTTCAGCTTCATGGCCAATTATTTCTTATCATTCTCTTTCATTCAAGAACTATTAGAAAATGACTATCCATGATTCCACCTTGGTGACTGGAGGCAAATGTTAGAATTGTTACCCTGGCTCCGCCATGGAGCCCCACTTCCCCTGCTTTGGGGAAGGGGGGCATGCATGTCACTTTGGAAAGCAGTTAGGTCACAATAATTAACGGGTATTAAGGATGCTCATGTTCTTTGACCTCCAAATCCCTTTTCTGGAATTCTGTACTGAGGAAATAATCAGAAATAATGAAAATGCACAAAGATGTTCACAACAGAGTTATTTATAGTGAGGAGTCAGAAGTGACCTAAATGCCCACTGACCAAGGAATGGTTTCGTAAATTAAGCGATAATCCCCAAAGAATGCGAGTGACGATTCCCCTGGCAAAGTATCAGTGCAATGCTCAGGATTAGGTTCATCTTGGAGTGACTGTGAAATCAAAGTAACAGGGGCTGAAATAAAATAGAAGTTGGCTTTTCTCTTATGTAAAAGAAACGTGGAGGTGGCACTCCAGGCTAGTGGATGACTTCATAAACTAATCAGGGATTCAGGTTCCTTTTCTCTTGTTGCTCCACCATAGCCCCAAATAGCCTCTTAGGTTCTGGCCATTACATCTGCATTCCAGCCAGCAAGGAGGATGGGAAGAAGAGCAGGTATCCTCTCCCTGAGGACACTACTTAGAAGTTACTTATATTCCATTGGCCAGAATTTAGTCACATGAACACACCTAACTGCAAGGGAGTGTGGGAAATGTAGTTTTTTGTTTTTTTTTCAGGGTGGGCACATGCTTAACCAAATGGGCATGGGATTTCTGTTACTAAAAAAGAGGGAAAGATGACAGAATTGGGGAGAAGCAGGGGTCTCTACCACAATAGGCAACAATTAAAAATAATGTCGAAGAGGATTTTGTAGTAACATGAAAATATGATCTTGTATAGTTTGGGAAAAGTGGGATTTGAAATTGTATATGAAGTGTAATTGCAACGGTGTAACAAAATTTCAAAGCAGAGAAATCTACTCAGAGGACAAAACTGCTAGCAAGTTGGCCTTAGTGGGCAGTCCAATAACAAATTTCATTTTTTTTCTCTTTCTTCTATATTTTCCAAATTGTCGATAATTGAGCAAACTTAACTCCCCAAAAGAAAGTCTCTGTGCAGATCACAGAATCTACTGGAGCTATAATTTGTGCCATGCAAATTCTGTCCTCAGTTGTGCCAAGGCAGCCAGATGGGGAGAGACAAAATGAAATTATCTCTAGTCTCAGGCATGATTGTGAATGAAGTCCAAGGAACCCACAGAAAGCGACTAGAAAAAGAGAGATCTGGCTTATTACAGGTTCGAGTCTCGGCTTTGCTGAAATGCCAGCAACGTGACCTTGGTCAGACCACTAACGTCCCTGTCCCTGCATCTGCACAGTGGAAGGACGGACAGCATCCATCTCCAGGTGTGAGGAGGGCTGGGAGGAGGTGGCGAGGGTAAGACGCGTGCACAGATTAAGCACAAAACCGGAGGTTCTCAGCTGGGAGTGGTTTTGTCCCCCAGGGGACATTTGGCAACGTCTAGACCAGTGGTTCTCAACCTTCTGGCCCTTTAAAAACAGTTCCTCATGTTGTGACCCAACCATAAAATTATTTTTGTTGCTATTTCATAACTGTAACGTTGCTACTGTTATGATCGTAATGTAAATATCTGATATGCAGGATGGTCTTAGGCGACCCCTGTGAAAGGGTCGTTCGGCCAACAAAGGAGTTGTGACCCACAGGTTGAGAACCGCTGGTCTAGGGACATTTTTGGTTGTCAATTAA